CGCTTCCTCAGCCCCGTCCCCTGAGCAGTGCCCCCTTCCAGCCCAGAACTGGTGCCCGGGGAGGTTCCCACAGAGCGGCAAGGAGCCTGGAGCAGTGAGAAAAGGGGATCGCCATGGCGAGCACAGGTGGGGCGTGTGTCCCCACCCACCCCGTCCACGGCTTCAGGGGGATAGCGACGGCCAGCAGTCCTCACCAACAGGGAAGTACAGGCAGTCCTCGACCACAATTGAGCCCAAAATCTCTGTTGCTGAGTGAAACAGTTGTTTTGCCCCATTTTACAACTTTTTTTTGCCACGTTGTTAAGTGAATCACTGCAGTCGTTTGTAACATGGACGTTAAGTGAATCTGGCTTCCCCATTGACTTTGCCTGTCGGGAGATCACAAAAGGGGATCACGTGACCCCGGGGACGCTGCGGCCGTCGCAAACCAGTTGCCGAGCACCTGAATCTTGATCACACGACCACAGGGACGTTGCAGTGGTCGCAAGTGAACAAAATGCCCACTTTTTCCAGTGCCATTGTAAAGGTTGTAAGTCGAGGACTACCTGCAAATGGCAGACTTCTACGTAGCTCTGCCTGTGGGCCCCATCCTTGGAGAAGGTGCCCCGGCTGGGCTCACCCACCCTGTGCAAAAGACCCCAGACTCAATCTCTGGCCTCTCCAAGTGTTGGTGTGGGGGGAGCAGAAGAGTACAAGCCCTCTTCCTCAGTGTTGGGGGGGGGGGAGCTAGTCAAGGGAGCTGCCTTCCTCATCCTGGCCCTGCCAGAGGAGCTCGGGCACTTCTCCCATCACCCGGGCATTGCAATCTGATATGCTTGCTGGGCAAGGGGCAGCTGGGCAGGCCTGGCCGCCTATTGGGGTGCTCCCTTTGCTCCTGCTGGTGCCAACGGGGCTCCTGAACCTCTGAAGGAGCAGAGTGATGGGTATGCCACAAACATCCGGGGGGGGGAGGGGAGCAGCACTGCAGGCCTCCCCTCGACGCCTTGTAACTACCATAGAGAGTCTTTTGGGGGCAACCCGCTAGCCTGGCAAATTCTAAATGCCTCTTTTCTCATGCCAGCTGGCTCACCTAGGATGTTCAGGAGGTTCTCGAACTGCTCCGGTTCAACGGGATGGGGTTCCTGGCCGGGCCCCTCTTCCTCTTCCTCAGGTGTGGTTGGTTGGCAGAACTCTGCTGAGGTCAGTGCTCGGTCTTGGGGGGTGTCAGCACCACGGGAGGGGCCTGCTTCGGAGTGGGAGACTAAGGCAGCAGGCAGAGAGAGGGTCTCCCTGGGGTCATCTGGAGCGGAGTTTAAAACCAGGGAAACACAAAGTCAGGGCCTTTTTCTGCTCTGGGCACCGAGATCTGCAATTGTGCCCAGTTCCCCATTTGCCCTTCCCAGTCCGGCTGCCTTTCCTGGTTCCCTCCCAGCTGCCACTTTGACCTCACTCTCAGGACAGCTGTTCTGAGCACCTAAAACACAACTTCGCAGGGAGCTGTTTATTTTTCAAACGGAGCCATTCCTTAGCCTTTCTGTGGCTCACAGGTGAGGCTCCGCTGCTCTGGACTTCCAGCATCTGCAGTTTGAAAGTTGATCTCTCACTTCACCCAGCCTACAGATGTGGATCGGCTCCCTAAAGCAGCCGGTGCCCCCAGGGACAGCATGGAAAGAGCAGTGGAGCCATCCGATGTGGCAGGTGGGGGGAACTNATTTATTGACAGTGAGAATAATTAATCATGAACTGGCTTGCCTTTAGAAGTTGTGGGTGCTCCATCACTGGAGGTTCTGAAGAAGAGATTGGACAATCAGTTGTCTGAAATGGTATAGGGTCTCCTGATTGAGCGAGGGATTGGACTACAAGACCTCCAAGGTCCTGTCCAACTCTGTTGGTCTGTTATTCTGTTATTTTAAATGTGAACTAAAAGGATGCACATTGCAGATACTAACTGTTGTCTTACCCAATGGAATGTGGTTTAATTTTGAAATTTTCCTAATGGCACACACTCCTTAAGCATTTATAAAATTGTCCCTATTTAAAATACTCAACATGTGATACACACAGTCCAGAATTTGACTTAAGATTACAGTGAAAAGACAATGACTAGTAATTTAGATAAACTTTGTTTCATATTTTACTTAACAGTATCCTTTGTCTGGTTCCGCTTGTTTAAAGTTTCGTACTGATTGTATGCTTCTTCATGCCCATCCCTTTTAAGAAATAACTTTCTCATTTGTGAGGTTGTCCTGGGACATGAAAAACAGCAGTATGCAATCTTATACATGGTCACACAAATGGGCTGGGGAAAATTAAATACCAATATAGCAGATGGTGCTTTTAAAAGCTTACTGTACAGGAAGTACTAAAGTTGAATAATGCTACATGGATCACACTTCTAGACAAATAAAACCAGCAAGCTTTTGACTTTTGTAGCAAAGTAATATGACAGTCAAATATAGAATAACAGAGTTGGGAGGGACCTTGGAGCTCTTCTAGTCCAATCCCCTTTTGGCAGCTGCCAAAAAAGCCAACACAGTTCTAGGCTGCATAAACAGAGGGATAGAATCAAGATCATGTGAAGTGTTAATAACACTTTATAATGCCTTGGTAAGGCCACACTTGGAATACTGTATCCAGTTTTGGTCGCCATGACATAAAAAAGATGTTGAGACTCTAGAAAGAGCGCAGAGAAGAGCAACAAAGATGATTAGGGGACTGGAGGCTAAAACATATGGTTGTTGGAACTGGATATGTGTAGTTTAGTGAAAAGAAGGACATGGGGCAACATGATAGCAGTGTTCCAATATCTCAGGGGTTGTCACAAAGAAGAGGGAGTCAAGCTATTCTCCAAAGCACCTGAGGGTAGAACAAGATGCAATGGATGGAAACTAATCAAGGAGAGAAGCAACTTAGAACTGAGGAGAAATTTCCTGACAGTTAGAACAATTAATCAGTGGAACAGCTTGCTTCCAGAAGTTGTGAATGCTCCAAAACTGGAAGTCTTTAAGAAGATGTTGGATAGCCATTTGTCTGAAATGGTATAGGGTTTCCTGCCTAGGCAGGGGGTTGGACTAGAAGACTTCCAAGATGCCTTCCAACTCTACTATTGTGTTGTATTGTATTGTCTTTGTAAGCTGTTTGTCAAACTCAACTCTTCTGATAATGAACATCATTATAGCAGCTTAATAGCCTTCAACCTCAAGGTTCTTCTATGTTAGCTTCAGTCAACGTTACTCATAATGTGCAAAGAGAAGAATCAGTTACAAAATATTCACTGATCTGATAAAGAGAAATGAAAAATTGTTTTATGTATCAGCATGTCACAGATGAAGATGTTGCTTCAATCAGTTAGCCATAATACGAGAATAGATCTATAGATATTGTTTCTTCTGTTATTTGTATAAATTCAGTCACCTAGGTTTGTTCAGTCAATTCTTATTTTCAAATGGATTTTTTTCATGAATTGCTATTTTTTCCTCCGAATCCTTTGCTATGTTTTTGCTTTTCTTCCCCAAACCTGTTTTTTCCCCAAACCTGTTAGGACCATATGCTTACGCACAAAACTTTTGATAAATCAGTCCTTAGTATTTCATATATTTGTTCCTAGATTGCTTGTGATCAGCAAATTCATTTTCAAAGGTTTCAATAAGGTCAGTATGAGGTCAGCTGCTTTCATACATTTTGTCCATATTTACGTCTATGTAGCAAGAGTCAAAATTGTTTGCTTGAGAAAGAAAATGTTCTAGTGAGTGAGTTCTTTCCATGTGCGCTTGAATATTTTATATCTGGATAAATACCTACGTTATTGACTAACTCTCTAACTAGATTATACTTTGAAGAAAGTTATTTGAATAGTTTTTAAAGCGATGCCTCTCCTACTGTGAGGCTAGAGTTAAATAAGTACAGGCCACCAAAGGATTTCCTGTGTATTAAGTAAGCTAATCTTAAAAAGAGCAATGATTAAAATAAATTCTCTGTTTGTTTATATAGTAGTATCAATGCCTTTTGAAGCATTTCAAAGCACTTAACTAAAACAAATAAGCACCTGAACTTCAGTTATCTAACAAGAACAACTATTGATAACTATGACTTTACTTATGAAATCTTAGCCATCGGCAACTTTAATTCAACAGTTTTCAGGATAATTTGGAAATTACTATCTAAAATAATGCAGACTTATATTGAGGCTGTGCCAACCAAATTCAGATAGAAGGGCTGCAAAAAACTAAGATCACTTGACGGATCTTAGTGCTCATGTCTGTGCATGAAATTTGAACATTTTAAAATAATACACTTTCTAGCATTAATGCTGATCTGTTCCCTCACAATGGTCAATTTTAGAACAAATTATAAGACTCTTAACAAGAGTCACAGAAACTATTAAACCACAATCCATAGTTTTATTTATTTATTTATTATTAAATCAGTTTGCCACCCATCTCAACAATTCTAAACCATAACTGCGGAGTTGAAAACATGCAAAGGCATGCCAAATCAAATTATGGCTTATTACAGTGGATGAACCAAGGATATTAAATAGATTAATTTGTAACTGCAGCCTATATTTCAAAATGTTGTTGTGGTATTTATGAGCATTTTTAAAATTAAATATATAACTGTCATAAAAACATAATCCATCCCTGTTATATATNCCCCACCTCCCCCTTGTTCCTTCTGCTTCCCTCAATGCTGGCAGAAGGAATGTCAGGGAATGGCCGGCCAACCATCAAATGCTTGGAAGCTGGCAGAGTCAAAGGTCGGGGAGGGGAGAACAGGTTTACCCCGCTCTCGCCAGGAGTCCTTTTGAAAACGGGATTCTCTCTGAGATCCAATCTTCCAAAGGGTCTGGGATGAACCCCACATTTCAACCTTCACTGGGTTACCTGTCCCACCTGGGGCCCAACACCATCTTTAGCACCTAATCTGGCCGGGAGGTTTGAGTGTTGCAGTGTAACATTTCTGGGAGGCAACCTGCAGATTGGGCCGGCCGCTGGTGTTTGTGGGGGGTCTCCTGCTCCACACTGGTTTTGTGCCTGGTGAAAAGGGCTGTCAGTCTGGCCTCAGGGGTCCACATGGGTCTCTCTTCAAGGGGGGCTCAAGTACATCAATGGCTCAAAAGGGGAGGAGCAACCTTTCCAGGGGCTCCAAGGGCCCCACACTGCCCACAGGGCAGAATGCCAGGCAGAAGAGATCCAAAAGTGGCGGTGGGGCAGGGGGATCCATACCACAATAGCCTCCCACAAAACAGGCAACGTCATCCCAAGTGCAAGTCCACTGCAGCCTTCCTAAAGGTTTGCACCTCCACCACACCATCTTCCCTGGCAGAAACCTCCCTCTGGTGCCAGCCTTCTGCCACCCCTTGGCCCTGCTGCTCATCCAGCCTTCAGGCCAGCCACTCAAAGGACTGGGACATGTGTGGGAGCCCAGGGATGCTCCCTTCCCCATTAGGCCTATCGGAAAACACGACCTGGGCTCTGCCTCCCCCCACAAAGGGGCCCCGTAAGCAACACCCCCCCACCCCGCGCGGATTGCAGCCTGCCCAGAACTCCGCAGCGCTCCAGCCGCCTCGCTCTGCAGGCCGGGCGGAAAACAGGCGCCGGTCCCCACCCAGAGCCTGGCAGATGCGCCTGAGGGCATCCCAGCATCCACAGCCCCCGGGAGGGGATGGAGGGGCTGCAGTGCGATGCGCGGGGACCCCCGGGTTGCAAAGGGAAGAGCGGGCCCAGCGCGGCCGCCCCGGAAGCCTCCGGCTGCTCGGCCCGAGGGCGAAGGGTCGCAGGGCGGGGGGCGCTCGGCGGGGCCTACCCGGAGGGCTCGAGTTTTGTCCAACCGGAGGGGGGCGCTTCCGCGATGGGCGGCGGGGAGAGGGGACCCAGCCCTTTGCCCCCGCTCGGCCCGACGACACCTACTGCAGTGGGCGAATCCCAGGACCTGCCCCATCGCCCCGGCAGCCGGCCTCCCCGAGGTCCATGCGGATCGCCGCGGCGGTGAGCTCCGACCGCGCCGCCGCCCCCCGCCGCCGCCCCGCGCTCATCTCCCCGGCAGCCCCATCTCGCCCGGGGCGCCAGCGGGACGGTCCCCGCGTGCCAGGCGGCGAGGGTCCCGCGAGGCCGGCC